TATAATCCTCGAAATCCTCGAATCCTCGAATCGAAATCCTGGAAATTCGCAATCCTCAAAATCCTTGAATCCTTTGAACTCACAGTCCTTCGGGGAAAAGATTAGAACACAGTCAGGCACAGAAGGAAGGCAGGCGACGGTGCAGGGAGAAGATGGCCGTGTGAAGTCCACAAGAGGAGAGTTCATAGAACAGATCTTTCCCAGCAGTGGATCCCAGAGCTCCAGCCTCCAGAATGGAGAGAAGTTGCAGTCCTGTTAGTTAAGTCCCTCGCTGTCCGGTTACGGGCAGCTCTAGGAAACAGAGGAGTTCATGAGTTCTGAGGATGGGACCTGAATGTCTTTGGGGTCATTACCAGCCTGGAGCAGTCCTTCATATCTTCCTGCCAGAACTTCTAACTAATAAAGGCAGGCATTTCATCTATTTTGTTCTTAAAACAGTACCCATCCATCCTGTCAGGTATGGTGGCGCATGCCTGTAATCCTAGCAGCTCAGGAGGCTGAGGCAGGAGGATCGAAAGTTTAAAGCCAGCCTCAGCAAATTACTGAGGTCCTAAGCAACTCAGAAAGACCCTGCGTCTACGTAGAAAATAAAAAGGGCTGGGGCTGGGGCTCAGTGGTTAAGTGCCCCTGGGTTCAATCCCTGGGGGTGGGGGAGAGGGGCCAGGGAGGGACCTTCTGATAAGGTGCCATTTAAGTTCTGGAGCAGGAGAGGGAGCCATTGCAACCAAGAGAGGGGTTCCCTGGCCATTGAACAGCCTCTGGCTTGTGCTCTGGGGGAGGTGGGAGCCACTGAAGTAGCTTGCGCAGGGTCATGGCCTTCACCAACTTGCGTTTTATTTATTTATTTATTTATTTATTTTTAACAAGAGAGTGAGAGAGGAGAGAGAGAATTTTTAATATTTATTTTTTAGTTTTCGGCGGACACAACATCTTTGTTGGTATGTGGTGCTGAGGATCGAACCCGGGCCRCACRCATGCCAGGCGAGCGCGCTACCACTTGAGCCACATCCCCAGCCCCACCAACTTGCGTTTTAAAGGGTCGTTTGGGCTGTGGGAGAGAGAAGGCTGAAGGAGAATTGGGAAGGAMCCGGAGGCTGTTTCGGGAACCCAGGCTGAGAGGCTGGTGGGCCAGGGCCTCGCCCTGCAGGTGGGGAGAGGTGGACCACCCTGGGTCTATTCTGAAAGTCATGCTTCAGAATTCATTGGTGGAACTGCTGCAGAGAGCGAGGCAGGAAAACCTGAGAGAGGTGGCTCCCGGGTCCACCTGAGCTGCAGTCATTCCCTGAGGTACAGAAGGCGAGGAGGTGGACAGGAAGAGCCCTGCTAGGTCACATCTCTATCTCTAAGACTTCCAGATGGCAAGGTTGGAATTGACCTCGGGCRTGCAAGTCCTGGGCTCGGGGGAGAAGCCCGTGCAGGAGATGTCAGTTTGCGGGTTGCCAGTGCACAGGTGACATCTAAAGCCATGAGTGATGAGAGCCCAAGCCAGGGGCCCCAGAGCTGGGGACCGAGTCTTGCCAACTTTCCCAAGCCAGCGGGCTGCGGAGGCACCCGGAGAAGGTCTTTCTCCCTGAATGGGGAAATGAATGAGCGGTGTCCAGTCAACTTTGCCAGACTCTTGGGAAGGCTGGGTCCCTGTCACTGGACAGTTACCCTGGACCACAATAAGTACCACAACCGTCCCAGCCTCCTGACCCATCCTCCAGATGTCCTCAGCTCTGCCCCTCCCTCCAGGCTCTCTGTCTGGCCCCCCAACTCCTCCCCACTCTATTCTTTTTTCTTTTGGGGGTTACTGGGGATTGAACTCAGGGGCAGACAACCACTGAGCCCCATCCCCAGCCCTATTTTGTATTTTATTTAGAGATAGGGCTTCATTGAATTGCTTAGCACCTCACCATTGCTAAGGCTGGCCTTGAACTTGCGATCCTCCTGTCTCAGCCTCCCACTGTATTCTTTTGCCCTTTACTGTCCTGAGCAAGGCCACTCTTTCCACCCCGTGAGGGTCCTTGCTTGCAGAGGCACAGCCTTCCTGCTGCAGGGAGAGTGCCATCCCCATCCGCGAAGGAGCTCCTGGGTCACTCTTCTCATTGACAAGGGTCTGCCCACAGCACAGGCTGCAGGAGGCCTTGTGGGTCCCGGAAGTGGGCTCAGTGGTTTGGGGAGAGAATTCTAGAATCTGACCCCCAGAGCAGGGCGTATGTGGCCTCCAGGGGAGCACATTCCTGGGCCCCGGGGATTCAGAGCTCCTAGGGGAGCAGGATGGAGTGTGGGAGTGGGTCACCTAAGGATGGTATTGCGTGTCCTCCTGCCACCTGTGGGGTGTCATTTCTTTCTTCTTTTCTTCTTCTTTCTTTCTCCCTCCTTTCTCTCTCCTTTGTACTGGGGATTGAACCCAGGGGTGCTTTACCACTAAGCTACATTCTCAGTCCTTTTTTAAAAAATTTTGAGACAGAGTCTTGCTGAGTTGCAGAGCTGGCCTGGGCCCTGGGAGCCTCCTGCCTCAGCCCCCGAGCTGCTGGGACCGTCCAGCTTCAGGGCATCAGTTCTCACGCTGCAAAATGAAGAGAAGTGGTGCCTCCGTGGGCCCTCAGGAGTGTGGGGGGGTCTTCCCTGGGGAGATGGAAGGCAGGGGATCCTCAGCCCCTTTCTAAGTGTGCTCAGGTCGGCCATTCCTCTCTCTTTGTGGCTGTTCGCGAAGTTCAAGGCTTGGGTCTAGACAGAGGGGTCAGCTTTATTTCATCCACCCTCCATCTGCAGGCTCCAGAGGCCACCTACCAAGACCTGTCCTTGGGGACTTGTGCCTCTGGGACAAGTGCAGGGGAAGATGTGGCCAGTGGGTGAACCCACCTCTGTGGAAGAGGCTGTCCAGGCCCTGCYTCCCTGCAGAGAGGCTTCCATTGCCAAAGGACAAGCCCACCTTGAAGAGGGATGGAGGGCCCAGAAGCCTCCCCACACACCAGGGGCAGTTCCAGATTCCCCATCGGGGGGCGCTGTTCCCACTGGGCCCGGAGCTGAAGGCAGATGGAGAAACACAAAGGAGCCTGACACACTTTCCTTGAAAAGGATTTGATTTATTAGTCTTTTCCGRAGCAGTTAATTCTTTTTAATTATTTAAAAAATATGTGTGTTTCATCCAGAGTTATATCAAAGTGATTAAAATGAATCTTCGACTGGAGATACAGCTCCCCAGATCAGAGAAAAAAATGTTTTTCAATGAACCACAAAAATAAAACCCAAAGAGAACATCCACAATCAAACATATTCCCCACATATCCAGGACAAAAAATAAAATATTTATTGATCTATCACAGCGAGACACAAAGAGATGGGGAGGGCGGGCGGGACGGGACATGCTTTGTAGTMGTGGCTCGAGGGCGGGATGGGGGATACAGTACTGCATGTGGGGGGACCCAGGCCGGGGACGAGAGTCCTGTCACCCCAGCCCACACAGCCCTCACACCCTGGGCCAGCGTCGGGGGTGTGTGGCAGGGGCGGAGGCTGCCATGGGAGGTTACCCAGGTGGGTGTGGGCGTGCCCAGCCAGCTAGTGGCACCAGGCGGTCAACTGGGGACAAGAATGAACAGATGGACGGTTGGGTGGATGGACGGACACATGGATTCCACAAGAGCAAGGGGGCTATTCCCAGTGTGAGTGGGGGGTTCTTCTGACTCCAAAGGTGCCCCAGTTGTGGGGAACAGCCATTGATGGGTGGGGAAAGGGCTGAGTGGACCCAAGGAGAGGAGGGATCTTGTGACCGAATCCAGCTTTGAGGCTTCAGGTGCTTGGGTACCAGCTGGACCGCAGCCGGGGGTGGCTCCTGGTGGGCAGGGGGAGGTGGGACTGCCCAGGAAGCATCTGCACCATCTTCAGAGGAACCCTGGGTGGGGGTCCCCCAGGGGCTGCCCTACCCTCCTCCCTCCCCCCAGGAAGACAAAAGCACCAACAAGAAGCACCAATTTCCCCTGGAGATGGAGACTGTGTGGGGGGAGCTCCCAGGAGGAGGGGTGGGGCCGGGCTGAGCCCACCAGCCTTGGCCTCTGGAGCCGGTGGCCTCCCAGTCGGGGCATGTGGCCACTGCTCTTGATTCCTTGTCCTGTGGATTTCCAAGGCCGCCGGCCTACCGTCCCCTCCCGGGTGGGCATTGAGTGGGGCTTGGGGTGGGATCACAGAGGGTTTACATTCTCCACCAAGCAGTAGCACCAACGTTGATGAGGTCGCGAGTCAGGGGTCCCGGGAAGCTCACTTTCTCTTCCGGCCACAGGATTTCCCCAGGCAGGCCCCACCTGGGCAGGGGAGATGCACACAAAGGTCAGTGGGTGTCCCTCACCCTGGGCTTTTTTTTTGTTTGTTTTTACGGGAGATTGAACTCAAGGATGCTTAACCACTGAGCCACATCCCAGGCTCCCCCTTTTTTTGTATTTTATTTAGAGACAGGGTCTCTTTAAGTTGCTTAAGATCTCACTAAGTTGCTGAGGCTGGCTTTGAACTCTTGATCCTCCTGACTCGGCCTCCTGAGTTGCTGGGATTAAAGGTGCGCGCCACCGTGCCCAGCGCCCGGTTGTTTCATAAGCCCCCTGCTTGCTCAAGCAGTGGCTTGGAGAAGCCAGTCCACGGCCCAGGGAAAACTCCGGGCATAGTACAAACTCCCACTGGGCAGGTGGGGTGGGAGCTGGGCCCCAGGTGTCATTGATAAAATCGAGGCTGGTGATGGGGGACTAGGTTGGGAAAGTACCAGGCTGGACAGGGTCCCCTGCTTCTGGGCATCCTGCAGAGCAGCCCTATCAGATGGGGTGAAGGAGGAGTCCAGGTGTCTGGAAGGGATGGCTGCCTAAGGGGGTGGGGTGGGCCCTTGAAGGGGAGGGTTTATCACAAAAGTAAACTGAGGTCCAGAGCAAGGGAGAGTCTGTGCCTGAGCTGGAAAAGGAACGTGGGATTCTAGGGGAGGGTCTGATTGGTAAATGGTTTCTGGTCTCCCTCTGGGGTAAGAGGCCACTGGATCTGGTCTTGGAGTCTTGGAGTGACATGTGGCTCGTTACCGCCACCTGGTGGCAACCAGCAGACAAATCGGGGTCGGAGGACAGGGCTCATGTGGCATTTCTCTGATGCTCATCCTAGGTGATTGAAAAGCCCCTGGATAGGGCCACCGGCATCAGCCTGATGGACAGTAGGCACCCTAGGAAAGGCCAATCTGGGCTTGTCCCTGACCCTACCACCCCTGGCCTCTGCCACCTCCTCTGTGTACTGCAGGCAGGTGGGTGCAGAAGGGCCTCCACTCTCCTGCAGGACTGAGGCCAGAGCTATGCCTGCTTTGGACAACCTGAAGCATCAGTGGCTGAGGGCAGGTGACCAGAACCTACACCACACAGTTCCCACGGGCTCATCTGCATTTTCCAGAAAGTTCCAGCTGGTGGCCGATGACCCTCCTGCCCAGCTCTGACTGCTCTGGCTCGGGTGCCCCTGTTCTAGCCACTCTCCTTCCCTGCCCTTCTCCCTGGGTCCCTCCCTACAGGTGGGGGTGGGCAGCATCTCAGGAACCTTCTTCTCCCCTAGGCCCAGGCTAGTGGCCCCCAACCCTGGCCTCTGTCTTCATCCTCCTGTCCCCTGTCCCTTCCCAGAGCTGCGTCTCTACTCACCTTGGTATCCCAGGGCTCCCAGGGCCCCTCCGTAGGCCTTGGGGGGCTTTCCTGTGGAGGAAGGGTGGAATTGGGGAAGGGCTCTCCCAGCGCCCCTGCTGTGTGCCCAGCCTGTCCTGTCTCTGCAGGTGGCAAAGGCCTCCTGTGCCAGCCTGCCCATGCCCCGAACCTGTCCTCCACAGCCCAAGCCAGAGGCCTTTCAGTGGCCTGGCCCTGGAGGTCTGGCCACTCAGCAGGTGCCTCAGCCCACCCCAGTCAGACCCTCGTGTGCTGCCTGGCCTCGACTGACCCATGGGACAGCTCTACTGTCCCTTCCTCTGGAGCTTGTCGGTCTCTCCAGTGAGTCCCTTGCCCCAGAGTGATCCAGGTCCCTGTCTTGCTCCGATGGCCACCCAAGGGCTTGGCTCCTATCTCCTCCTGGGACTCCCCCCATACCAGAGGACCTGCCCAGGGCCATGGCCACACTAGCCACTCCCTCTACTCCAGGAAAGGAGCTGGGGCCCTGAGTCCCCCAGACAGGGGACATCTGTTATTGCAGACTCACCGCCAACTCCCAGGCCCCCGGCGCCTCCACCTACAAGGTAAGGAGAGGGGCTGAGGGTGCCTGCTCCCGGGAGCCTACCACACCCTCCCGGCTGGTGAGGCTGGCACAGGGTGTGCGGCGGGAAGGGCTGACTCTGGGCTTCGGCCTCAGCTCCCTGTGTGACTTTGGAGCGGTCCCTGGCACTCCCTGAACTCAGTTTGCCTCATGTGGAACATGATGGAGAAGCCATCTGTCCCCCAAGGACCCCAGAGGCATGAAATGTGGCTTAGAAAAGCCAATGTTTTCCCTGTCCTTGGAGAGGAAGGAGACAGAAAGGGGATGGGGCTACTTTGTGTCGGMTTGGGGTCTGGCCTGGTGTGACCTGGGGTCATGGGGTTCAACCCTGGACACTGGCTCAGCCCTTCTGAGCAGGAGCTGAAGCAGGGGAGGAGGAGGGACCCGGCAGAGCTCAGGAAAGGGCCGGGGCGAGGCGCCCGGGTGTACCTGGGAAAATGGGAGACAATCCGAAGCCAGGTCTCGCTGCCACTCCTGCAGGGGAGACTAGGGGTTGGCGGCGGTGGGGAGGCAGACCCTGGTCACCCAAGCCTGTCTGGGGCCGAGTCTCCCTGTCACCGCGCGCTCCCCTGCAGCCAGGCAGCTTCCTCAACTAAACGTGTCCCCACCAAGTGCCCTGATGTGACACCTCTGAACTTCCCGGCATTGCCTCAACCCTGAGGCCTGCCCTTGCCCCAGGGTGTGTCCTGTCCTGGAGTGCCCTGTCCACCCCCAGCCTCGGTCCTCTGTGGATGTGGGCTCCGCGAGCCCCCTCTGCTAGAGCAGAGCCAGCCCTACCTCCACCTGGGAATGGCCTGGTGGCTCCTAGGACACCTCCAAGGCCAGCAGCACCTGAGGAGAGGGCAGATGGGGGTCAGGACCAGGCCCACATGTGGGCGCCCTGACATCCCTCTGTCTCCGTTCTGGGGCCAGAATTTGTCTCGCACAGACCTTCAGGGGAACCCTGAGCAGGAGGGAGGCCTAAGCCAGGGTGGGGGTGAYGGCAGGGGTGAGGGCCACTAGTGGGCCTGCTGGAGGAGGCCAGCAGGGATAACTCACCATATTTGGCTGCTTTAGCAGCTGCAGCTGGGGACACACCTGGAGAGACGGGGCATGGGGGGACGAGGAGTTCAGGCCCTGACTTGTCCTCCCACATCCAGCCACCCTACTCCCCGCCATCCAGCCTTCCAACAGCCTTTACTAAGCTCCTGCTGTGTGTCCCATCCTGTGGAGCACACAGGGAGTGGCTTGTAGGCCAGTTTAGGTAGGGGACCCAATGACCACCMGAGAGAGAGGAAACTGTCATCAGGTCGGCCATGGGGGCACAGACTTRGAAGTCATTTCTCTCCAGACTTTGATCTCCGTGTCTGCAAAATGGGCCTGACCGCCCCCCCCCCCAAGGAACTCCCACCCGTGGTGGTCAGTGGGTCGCAAGAGAGGAAAGAGGACGGTGGGCGACCTCTGCTGCTGGGTGGCCTGGCTGCCCCTTGCCCAGCCCTGGTCAGCAGCCTCAGGGACTCGGCGGGGAGGGCGGGGTCCACCCAACCCCAGGGGCAGATGCACTGCAGGGTGGGGGAGGGGGAGGCGTCCTGGGAGAGGGGACAGCCTGAGCAGTGGAGTGGCTCATAATGTCATATATGCAGTGCTCTAGAGGGACCGGGTGACCTGCTGAGAAACCTTGTCACTTTCGTTGAGAGTGAAATCCGACCTGGCTTCAGATTGTGTTCCAGTCACCCAGGGGCACCTGGGTGCCCTGTCCCTGTCACTCGCTCCGCTGGGTCCTCCCTTCTCCTGTTTCACCTTGCTGCTCAGGAAGGCTGAGCAGTATCCGGCGGGGCGGGGGGGGGGGGGAGAAAGGCTTGCCCCTGTCTGTCTGTCTGTCTGTCTCTCACACATGCGCCTCATGCTTGCTGATTCTAGAACAGTCCTCACCTCCTAAGCCAGCGCCCGGAACAGCTCCTCCGGCCCCGAGCCCACCGACCCCCAGTCCTCCGGCACCGAGCCCACYGACCCCGAGGCCTGTGGAGAGAGCGGGCATTGAACCTGCAGGTCAGGGAATCCTAGCAAAGTCTGCCTGCAGAGGGACGGTGCTGTCCCTTGGTGGACGGAGCCTGGGCCCGTCATGGACCCCGGCGGGGGCTCCCCACGTCCCGTGCTCACCGTACTGGGCAGCTTTGGCAGCAGCCTTGGCAGCAGCAGCAGAGGCRGCAGGTCCGGCCCCTGGGGACACAGCGGGAGCTCAGGGAGGAACTGTGCCAGGTCTCTGTCTCCCTCCCTGCCAGSCCTTCCCGAGGTGCGACTCACCTGCCACGCCACCTGGGACTCCTACTCCACCGAGACCCCCGACGCCTCCCAGGGCCCCAGCGCCCCCTGCTCCTGTGGAGAGAGGGTGGAGGATCAGACCCCCGTTTCTGGAGGATGGGCCTCCCTGACCCAGGGACACAAGGGAAGCAGATAGGTGGCCCAGCCCATGTGACCAATGGGAGGAGAGTGGGGAAGGACTGTCCCTGAGCTCCGGGCCCGAGTCCTGGCTCTGCCCTCAGTGAGGGGGATCCCCCTCAGGTCTTGGTCTCTCTGTCTCCAACACAGAGTGGACAGGCCTCCTCTCCCTGGACCGTGCTGGGAGCCTACTGGAGTGACAGTGTGGCTGTGAACATGGCCGACTCTGGACTACTTGGTCTCAGTTCTTGACAGCCCTGGGTTCAAATCTTGGCTTGTCCACTTGACATGGCTGTGGCCTCTCTGAGCCCCAGAGTCCCTATGCCCTGCAGGATGTGATAATACCTTGCTTGCCCTCTGGGTGTGTGAGAGTAGGGCACACCCGCTCTGCACTCTGTAAGTGCCAAATCCTACTGTTCGTGTGGGTGGCTTCTGCACAGCTCATGCACAGGAGTTCACGGGGCTCTGTGAGTTTTATCGAGCTCATTGCATCATGACAGGAAAGGCAGAGCCKGCTATGCCCCCATTTTGCAGATGAGAAAATAGAGGCAAGCAGGGGTTAAGCAGTGTGCTCCTTCCACAGGCAGGACACAGCTCAAGAGCCACTGGAGTCCACAGCCGCCCCGCTACACCACCCACCACACTGCTCCGTTTCCCTGGCGACGTGGGTTGACTCAGGCCTGCTGAGCAGCCGGTGAGGAACAGCAGAAGGGCCCTGGGTTCCCCGGGGCCGCGGCGGGTGGGGCTGAGGAAGCTGGGATTTTCCAAAGTGGAAACTGGCCCCAAGGGGACCGACGGGGGCCAGTTGGCAGGTCCCTGGTGGAGGCCCCTGCCTGGCTCCCTGGAGGCCAGGAATGCGRGGGCCACAGACATGGGTCTGGCCAGGCGGGACGTCCAGAGTGCCAAGTGGCAAGGCCAGCAGCTCTGCCACGTCCTCGAGGCTGACAGGAAGGCAGGGAGGGGGGCCGGGGGTGCCCGGAGCAGGAAACAGACCCCTCTGCTCTGGCCAAAGGGTGGGAAAGGAGGTGGAGGCTACCGGCCTCCTCACACCAGTGCAGGCCTGCACCACCCTGCACCCAGGGCTCAAGAAACTGTCAGGGCCAGAGGGGCCTTGTTCCTGTCCCCTGGGGGGGTTTTAGTTGTCACAGGGGTTGGAGGCACCACAAGCATTTAGTGGGCAGGGGCCAGAACTGTAGCTGCCAGCAACATGACCTAGGCACTGCCTCTTTCCATCCTGCCCACCCGGCCTTGTGCCGTCAGGCCTGCGGGGTGGCAAGGGTACCGCTGTGGTGTGGCAGGGACGGGGGGTCACACTCACCGTATTTGGCAGCTTTTGCAGCGGCCAGGGATCCAGGCACTGGGGACAAGGGAAAGGGGGGTCAGCAGCTGAGCCCCTGCCTGAGGCCCTGCCTCCTCCTCCAGGGAGCCCACCCTGCCTTCCTTGGCCACGTTGCTTCCTCAAAGCCCTGAAGTTCTGACCCTCCCGCCAGGAGTTCTCACCACCAGATATCGGGCTTACTGTTTAACCAGGCCACTACTGCCAATCTGATGTGGGGGCTTGAGGGCTGAACTGTGCTTCCTCTCTCCACCTGTCCCCTCCTATCCCCTCCAGGCCCACTGTGGCTGGGCACCAAGTGGGGCTCAGTCACCACATGGTGAAGAACTGGAGTTCCTAGTGGCCCCCTTGCTGTGGAGCATTCCTGAAGGCCTGGGGCTAGGACCCTAGGACTCCTACCTCCTTCCTTGGGGGGTAGGTGGGCTTTTTTGAGGTCTGGAGCCCTGTTATGGCTCCCTCTGAAACCTGGCAGCCTGGAGACCTCTGCCTGGCTTTGCCTCCCYCTGGGACCCCGGTTGTCTCTGACTGCCCAGGAAAATCTAATGGAGGGTTCACTGTGCACCTCTGGGTGCCAGGGGGAGGTGGGGCAGTGCTGGGAGGAGGAGGGGTCTCCTGCCTTTGAGCTCAGGGGGGCAGTTTCTGTCTAACAGCTAGAAACCTCCTCACCTGCACCAGCTCCAAATCCAGGAACCCCAGCACCAGCTCCTAATCCAGGAACCCCGGCACCAGCTCCAAATCCAGGAACCCCGGCACCAGCTCCAAATCCAGGAACCCCGGCACCCAGCCCAGCAGCCGCCTCTGTGGGGACATGGGCAGTGGGACTGAGCCCTGCCTCCTCCTCCAGGGAGCCTATCTGGGCAGCAGGCAGCTTGACCCTTTGGAGATGTCCCGCCCTGAGAGCTGAGTCTGACCCCAAGGGAAGGGCCCCCGGTGGAGCAGCGACCTCCTCCATGGCTCTGTCCCCATCTCCAGACTCCCTACCTTTATCCATCGCTCTGTGGCCCTGGAACAGTCTTCCTGAGATGGCCACTGGCCACCAAGTCCAGCCCATCCACAGGCTGGAACCTGGGGTTGCGGTGTAGACCCCACTTCCTTTCCTGCCTTGCCTGCTGCCCTCCCATCTTGGGTGAACTCACTAAATTCTCCTGACAGCGCACGAGGCGGGTGCTGGGCTGCTGACTTCCCGGCTAGAACCCCAAGGTCACTCAGTTTCTTTCGGACCCAGGATTGGAACCCAGGACTCCCTCTCCCTGAATCTGTGCTTTCAGGCCCTCCGCCTGCTCTCTTGGGGCTGATGATGCTGCCGGATGCACAGAGTGGGTCTGGTGTGTGTGTGTGGGGGGCCTGGGCCTTCGGGGGAGAGGCGGGCACTTGGGGGAGAGGCGGGCACTCACGGTACTGAGCTTTGGCGGCGGCTTTAGCAGCGGATTTGGCAGCAGCGGGTCCTGCTCCTGGAAGGAGGGGGGTTCAGGATGGTGCCCATGGAGCCTGCAGGGGACCCCCAGGCTTCTCAGACACGACACTCACCTGCGATACCACCGGGAATAATGCCACCAGGAACGCCAACGCCACCAGGAACGCCAACGCCACCAGGAACTCCGACGCCACCAGGAACCCCAACTCCACCAGGAACCCCAACTCCACCAGGAACCCCAACTCCACCAGGAACTCCACCGACTCCAGGGCCCAATCCTGCAAGAGCACCCATAGCTGCCCAGGGCCTGGCTAACCAAGGCCTGAGCAAAGAAGAAGGAAGGTGCTGGAAAGAGCCCTGGGTCCAGAGGCAGGGTTTATGGGTTAWCTCCCCAGCCAGGGCAGACTGGCCAGGAGACCATGGGCCGGACACTTCCCCATGATGAGTCTCAGCTTCCTCCTCCCTAATACAAAGTCTGTGCAAGTTCAGGAGATCAAGGCCTTTTGGGGGACAAGGACCCCTGGAGACTTGAGAGTGACAGGGAAAGGGAGCACTTTACTAAAGACAGGCAGACCTGGTTTAAACCTCTGCTCAGCTGCCATTGAGCTGTGGCCGTGAGCAGGTTCCTAAGGCTGGGGCCTCTGTCTCCACGTCTGGCAGAGGGGCTGAGTAGAGCCGGCCTCTGGGAGCCAGGAGGTCGGTGAACCTGGAGTTAGAACCTTCCCGGGCCTCTAGGGCCCTGGGATTCTGATCGGAAGAAGAAGGATCACTGGCCGGGATGCCACCACTGGCCACTTTCAGTAAAGTGTGTGCCTGGGGCTGCCAGGGTGGCCCTCAGAAGGTAGCAGGAAGGACCCCAGCCACTCAGGGAGAGGTGGCTAGAACCCAGCATGGAGCCCAGAATCCGGGCTGGGTTCAGCTGGGGTGGAGGACGGTGTGTGTGAGGGTGCTCTCCAGGGCCATCTTGAGCTGCTTCCCCAATGTCACCAGCCCCCAGAGCTGATCAGAGGAGCCAGGGCGAGGAGAGTCCCCACCATMAGAATATGACTGACCTCTGAGCAGGGGACCCGAGAGCAATGCTTTGGAACAGGGGTCGGGCCCTGGGGGGCCACTTACCAAACTGGGCAGCTTTGGCGGCTGCTTTGGCGGCTGCAGCTGCAGGGGTCCCGGCTCCTGGGTGGGTGAAGACAGGGAATGGGGAGCCATCCCCAGCCCCGCTGCCCCCCTCTCAGCCTTCCCAAAATCCCCCAGGGAAGTTTCTCCTGAGCCACAACCTGATGCTGGAGACGGGGACACACACGCAGGTCCAGCCTGAGTTCTGAGGTTCTGAGGACCACCCCTGGCCCCCGGGCACCTCCCTGCCCTTTTTGGGCTTTGGTGGAGCCTGTGAGAATCCAGCCCTGGGCCAAAGTAGTGATTGGAAAGGGGCACCATGATCCTCTCCTAGACCTACCCCAAAGGATTTGTGGAGCTTTCTACTTTGAATGCAGGTAATTATTTAAAATCCTGAAAGCTCCAGGATCCAAACTATTGCAGGAAATGAATTGCTTTTTAATTTAATTTAATTTATTTTTAAATTTTGCTGTGCTAGGGGAGGAACCCAGAATCTGATGCCACCTAGCCAGGTGACATCCCCCAGCATCCCTAGGCAGGGCGGGGCCTTGCTAGGGATTAGAAGGCCAGGGCTCTTCCCTCTGGGCTACTTTGGGGAGATCATGGTCCCTCCCTGTCTCTGGGCTCAGCCATCCCATCTGTAAAATGACGCGGATGCTTCCAGCCACCTTCAGGGACCCTTCTGCGAGACAAACCGAACCCGTCTCTCAGTGGGGGACACTGCTCACCTGGCACCCCTCCGGCTCCTGGCACACCTGGCACTAAACCTGGCACGGCACCTGGCACTGCACCTGGCACTGCACCTGGCACGGCACCTGGCACCAGCCCTCCCAGGGCTCCAGCTCCTCCAGCACCTGGAGGTCAGAAGAGTGTCCAGTGCTCAGCACTTGGGGAGCAGGAGGTGGGGGAGGACAGGGACTGGGGGTGGGCCACTTACCGTACTTGGCAGCTTTAGCCGCAGCGGCTGCTTGGGCTGCAGCTACAAGGGAAGAGGGGGCAGACTCTCAGACCCCATCTCAGCCGGCAGAATTCCAGCTCCCGGCCCCAAAAGGCACCAGAGTCCCACCCTGTCCCCACTGTCCTTGAGCACACTGAAGTCCAGCCCATACTCCCTGCCCACCCTGCAGAGCCAGCTGGGGGAGCCCCACCCCCTCCACTAGAGAGAACTTAGGCTCACGGGAAAGGCCAGCTCCGGGGACACCTCCAAGGCCAGCACCAGGGACACCTCCAAGGCCAGCTCCAGGGACACCTCCAAGGCCAGCTCCAGGGACACCTCCAAGGCCAGCTCCAACACCATAGCCAGGAAAGCCCCCAGCACCAACCCCGTACGTGGGGATGCCTCCAACGCCCACTCCAGCCCTGGCCCCTGCAGAGGGAAGATGACCAGGTGGGGAGGCACCTCAGGGAAGGAGGACAGGAGGAAAAGATGTCCGCTCCCCCCACGTCCGGTCCTCAAGGGCAGGAAACAGGGATGCCTGGGCCCCTCGTCTGCCTCCTCCACGAAACTCAGCCCCCCCTTGATTTCCCTGTTCTCTGAGCACTTGGAGAGGGCTCCCTTTGTGGGGGAGACTGAGAGCAGGCTCATCCCCAGGCTTGGGCTCCTCTGAGGGGGTCTCTCTCTGGGGAAAGTCATTCTGGGACTCTCTCAGCCTATGGCTTCATGGTGGGGGACCACTGGGAAGACACTCGCTCTCCTGGTGCCCGCCCCCTCCATGTCCCAGCTCTGCCAGGGACCTGCTCTGCAAGTCTGAGTAAGCAGACCAGAGAGCCCTTTGGTTCAGGCAAGTAGAGGCCAAGACAGGGTGGGCAGGACACTAACCATATTTGGCTGCTTTGGCGGCTGCTTTGGCAGCAGCAGCAGGTGACACGGCCCCTGAAAAGATCAAAGGGACACAAATGTTCAGGAGAAAATAGAGGAGAGATGCTCAGCGCACAGTCCCCTCTCCACCCACCTGTCTGTCGGTCCATCTTCTTTCTCTCTATCAAGTTGCTCAGCCATCCATTCACCTGCTGTCCTACTTCTATGTCTGTCCATTTGTCTGTCTATCCTTGGACCTCAGCCCAACTACCTATCACCTACCTGTTCCTCTAAACACCCACCCATCCATCAACTTACTCACACACCTGCCTACCTACCCGTTCAGCTAACCATCTGCCCAGCCGTCCATTTTGCATTGGCTGGTCCACACTTCCACCCACATATCTATCCATCTGCTCATCCAACTATCCACCTACCCCTCCAATCGTCCATCCATCCATCCATCCATCCATCCATCCATCCATCCATCCATCCATTCATCCAATCATCCATCCATCTATCCATCCATCCAACCATCTATCCATCCATCCAACCATCCATCCATCCATCCAATCATCTATCCATCCATCCATCCGTCCAATCATCCATCTATCTATCCATCCTTCTAACTACTTTAGTCCCCCAGCTGCCTATCCATCTGTCTTTTTATCTATGTATTTATCTTTCCATCCAACTTTTTAATCTATCTATCTATCTATCTATCTATCTATCTATCTATCTATCTATCTATCTATCTATCTATCCATCCACCCATTCTTGCATCTGCTCATCCTTCTACCCACTCATTCCTTCATCCATCAATTTGCCTGCTCATCTGCATAGCCAATATATGACCACCCATTTTCCCACCCRTCCACCCACCCATCTATCCACAATTTACTGAGCACCTACTCAGCTAAGTGTTGGAAACAGAGGTGAAAAAGGTGTGATTCTTGCCTCTGGCAGCACAGCAACAGCCAGAAGGAAAATAGAAGAGCTGGTGCTGGTGGCAGCTAGGTGGGAGGTTGTTATAGTCGAGGGAGAGAGGATGAAGGGGTGAGGCAGAGCCGAGGGGGTGGACAGATGAGTGAGGTCTTGGGGAGGACCCCAGAATCTCAGCAATAGTCTATTTCTCTCTCACACACACGCACATGCACACACAAGGAGCAAGTCCAGCTTACCTGGTACACCCCCGATGCCTGGACCCCCAACGCCTGGGACCCCAACACCTGGGACCCCAATGCCTGGGACTCCAACACCTGGGACTCCAACACCTGGGACTCCGCCAACACCTGGGATCCCAACACCTGGGACCCTAACTCCTGGCCCACCAGGCACTAAGCCCCCAGCAGCTCCTGCGAAGAAAAAGGATTGTTCTTTTGGCCTAAGCCTTGTGGGGGCCTCTGAAGACCCCCAAGAGCAGGGGTCTAGGGGAATTAAAGGGTAAGGGTCTGAGTGAAGAATTGCTCAGGTGGGTTGGCATCTGCTCTGCATGGATCCAGCTCTTCAGAGGTCGGGAGGAACTCTGGGAGCCTGAAGGACTAGCAGGATTGGGTCTGCGGCTGGGAAGAGCATGATTAATTTCTAGAGCAAGATCAGAACTACCACCTGTGGGCACCTCGGCCATTGAACAGCCCTGGGGCATGGGGGCAGTGTGGGGATGGGTGGGGAGGAGCCAGTGCTCCCCAGGGCCCCTTATGCGTTCAATTCACAGAGAACAAGGAGATGGCATCCCAGGTGCAGTGACCAGAATGGGCAAGTTCAAGGAGTGGGAGGGGAGAAGGAGGCTCCCCAGGTGGACACAGGCAAATCCCTCCAGCTACCCAGGACTGGGTCTCCAGAGCCCACAAGGAGACCGGGGCAGGCCCTGTGCCCTGGACCTGCCATCCGGGGTCACTCACCATACTTCGCAGCCTTGGCGGCTGCCTTTGCAGCAGCAGCAGCAGCCGCAGGAGTCCCGGCCCCTGGAAGGACAGCCACAGAGGGTGAGGTCCTTTGCCTGTGGCCGCTCAAGGCCACCTGCAGCCCTGCTGGACCTGACAGTACCTGCAATGCCTCCAATCCCAGGAATCGCACCAGCCCCRCCAGGAATGCCACCACCTCCGACACCAGGGATGACACCAGCTCCTCCAGCACCTGGTGGGACAGGGACAGTGCGTGTGGCTCCTCAGGGTCCCCCTGGGGCCGCACAGGAAGGTCTCCAGGAGGCTGGCATTGGAACCAGCACCATTCCACCGGGGACTCGGCCCTGGCGCCTTGGGATATGCTGCGGGGGCCCTGCCTCGGCTCCTGAAGCCCAGTGGGTCCCTTTCCACACGCTCATTAAGGGAGTTGGACGTTTCCGGACAGATCCAGCCCTAATCACTGCCACATACTGAGAAACCACAAGCCGCTGCTCCCTGGGCCAGAGGGGCCCCCAAAGGAATGTTCGAGGCTTCCTTTCCCTGTGTTCCGAAGACCCGGCCAAGTTCGTCATCCAAGTGCCTGGCCGCCCGGCCCTGGCAGCCCCTTCCTGCCCGCTCTCCGCTCCCGCATTCCAGTCGTCCCCACCAGCCCCTGCTGGCCTCTGGGGCCTGAGGGGGGCCTGTGGGGCCCCCAAGGGCAGGTCCCCCTCCCCACATTCTTGTCCCTCAGGCTGGTGGGAGACATCTTCTGACCCACCCTAGAAACAGGAAGGGCTCCCCGGGGCTGGGGACAGAGGAGGGGACTTCAGCCCTTGTGGTCTGACCCTGAACTGAGGGTTTCTTTGTCAGGGGACAGTTGCCCACCCTGCCCATGGCATGGGAATGGGATGTCCGCGCCATACTGCGGCAACGCCATCCAAGAGATCCGGGCTTGATGAACGCGTTAAGGTTTTATGGTATGCATTAAATGGATGCGAAACCATTAAGTTTTAAAAATGCTTGTGTAGGTCCCACCTCAAACGGTCTTTCTGACCACCAAGGCACCCCCACCCCCCGCCCTGCTCATGCTCCTCCTGCCTCTTTCAACCTTGAGGCAGGCTCCTCATAAAGTGTRAGGCTGGAGTCAAACATCACTTTCTCTGGGAAGCCTCCCCGATGTGCCCCAGGTAGGAACAATGTGTCCCTCTTCTCCATTCAGCTCCCACGAGAAGGCCAACCTCCTCCATTAAGCTACCACCCGCTGCCCCCACCTCTGAGATGGATGGGTGGAGGGACAGAGGGACAGATGGGGGAAGGGACATAGAGGTGGATGTAGGGAGGGAGGGGGGAAGGTGGAGGGCTGGGTGGGGAGGGACAGGAGTGGGAGAGATGGATGGATGGATAGAAGGATGGATGGATGGATGGATGGAGGGAGGGAGGGATGGATGGAGGGAGGGATGGGGGCCACTGGATCAGATGTGAGGCAGTTATCAACTGTAAGGGGGTGCTGTGGGTGGGTTGGGGGTGGCTGAGGACCCCAGAGGTGCTTACCATACTTTGCTGCCTTAGCTGCTGCCGCTGCGGCCGCCTGGGGGCCCACTCCTGGGGGAGGACAGGGTCAGAGGGGAGAGTCTGAGAATGGTGCCCACCTGCTTCCAGCCGCAGGATGACCCACCCTCGGACACAGGGGTGAGGAGGGGCTTTGCGGCAGGCAGAGCTCGCAGGGCTGGAGGGACACTTGCCAGTCACCGTGACYAGGGCCCCTTTGCCTGGGAGTGACCAGGCTGCCTCACCTGTCCCCGTTGGGTAGCCAGCCTTGCCCGCGGCACCAGCCACTCCTCCAGGTCCATAGCCTGTCAGAGGAGAGGGTTGGCGTCACCTTTACCCAAGCAGACTTGGCCACCTCTGCTGCCCCTGCCCTTCCCTGCAGGGCCCTGCTGCCCTGAGTGTCCCTGTGTCATCCCCAGCAGGAGTGAGAACAAATACAAATGGGCACGTGGCCCTGGGATTCCCACTGCACAGAAGAGGACAGAGAAGAGGACAGGCTCTTGGAGGCCTCACGAGAGGGAGAGGCCCGGAGCGAGGACCAGGCCAAGGCCACATTTCGTGCTGTGTCCTTTGGAGACCCCCGTTCCAACAGTCCATCCTGCTGCCCAGGGCTGGGGTGGAGGCACCCTCTCTGGGCCCCTAAGGCCCACAAGGGCGGACTCACTGAAGGGCGCTTTCCCGTTGGCGTAGGGCAGTCCGTAGCCACCTGAGGAGAGAGCAGGGTGGGCTCCAGGGCTGCCCCCCTGGGTGGACAGACCACCCTCCCCCAAGAGCCCTAGGTGGAGGAGGGAGGACCCCCTCCCCCTGGGTCTGACGGGACATTCTTCCCCCTGCAAGTCCAGGGCCCACCTGGCCCTGAGTTCTGAGCATCGTCCTTGGGTCCCTCTCTACGGGAAGAATCCCATGGGCTRATAGCTGAGGTGGGGGGTGGCCCTGCGGGTGACTTGATGGTGGAGGGTTCTTTCCCATGGTGTCCAATACCGTCGACACAGTGGCTCTCCCTCAGAGCTTTGGGTCTCTGTGTACGTGCGCACTCATGCACAGGGACGTGTGCCTAATGTCTGTGGCTGGGTTTCTCCAGGTTTTCTTTGACTGGTGACCAGAAGTGACTTCAATACCAGTCCCCACCGTCCCACCCCAGGACATCTGTGTCCCCCTAGGCTGAGTCTCAGCAAGTCCTTCCTCCTGAAGCCCCCCAGACTCACCTGGGAGCTTGGGTGCCTTGATGGGGTACCCMAGTGGGACCCCAGGCTGCTGGCCCCCAAAGGGCCCGACCCCTGTGGAAACCGAAAGCAAAATCAGGGCCCAGCTCCCTGGGCCAGCAGCCCCTTGGACGCCGCTTCCTGCTCAGACAGCAGCAGTTCAACAGGCCACTTTCTGGGGAACTGCAGGATCCCCCGGGGGTCTTGGACCCCTGCTGGAGCTGATAGTCTTGSCCTCCTTGAAGGGGGCTGGGTTTGGCAGTTTGGGGCTCTGTGCAGATGGGTTGGGGGAGGGAACAGGCCTGGGATCGGTGTCCCTTTGTGCTGAAGTCAGCTCAGGGCCCGAGTGGGAGCCATGAGGGAACTCCCAGGTCTGGATGGATGCTGGGTACCCAGCTCCTCCCAGGGCCAGAGCCCCTGCCCAGCTGGCCACCTGCCTGTCCTCCCCCTGGCCTGAGACAGTCAGCCCTGTCTCACCTGGGATTCCGGCAAAAGCTCCACCTCCACCTGCAATGACAAAATCCTGTCACGGCAGCCCTGGCACCATGGGCACAGGGCCCGGGGACAACGTTGGCCAGGCAGCACAGAGGGGTGGGCAGACTCCGGCAGGGGCCAGTTGTACCCAGACCTCGCAGCTCGTCCAGTCCTTGCGCATGGTCTGGGATTTCTGAGCAGYGGGCTGCCCTTCCTGGACTGCAAGTCCAGGGCTGGGCACAAGAATGCCCTCCAGAGGACCCTGAGTAGGCCCCGGATCTCCCCATAACCCACCGTCCAGCCCCCAGGAGCCTGCAAGTGGGTGCAGAGCCTCCCCCAGGGGCCCAGCCCAGCCGGCTGCATACCTGGGGCCTTGGCCTTGACTCCTGCTCCGGTGGGCACCCCAGGGAGCACCCCCACTCCAGGGAACCGAGCTCCTGCAGGGCAAAGAGGACTATGGCTATGGCAGAAGGCCCTCCTTGGCCCCTCTCCTGCCTTGGGTCTCTGGGTGGATCTGTCTGTGATGGGCATGGCTCACGGGGACCTGTTGCTGGGCACTTTCCTCCCCTTCCCGGCCCAAGGTCAGAAGGTCCCAGCTTTCACCCTATTTTGCAGTCACGTGGCCTCAGGCCTGAGTGGACTTCATCACAAATCCACCTTGCCCACCCTCGGGGGAGAAGCACGGAGCGCCAGAGTCGGGGCAAAGTGGCTGTGTGTGCGCAGAGCAGCCTCCTGGCGGTGGCCTGGGACTGAGTGCCAGGGTCTCCTTCCTCTCCCTCCTGCCCTGGGGCTGGGCTGCCTGACCTGACCCCGAGGAGGTGGGGGCCACTCTGTCAGCAAATCCCACAGAATCGCCTGGATCTGGGCTTTTGGGGGATTTCAGGAGGTCACATGTTGGGTGGAGTGGCAGGCCCTGGCAGGGAAAGGGGGTGGGGGTGGCTTTTCGGGGTCTCCTGCAGGGCAGACCTGCTGGGCAGGCCCCCTGGTGACTCACGACTTTGAGGACACAGCTGGCTACACTGGGGTCTCGGTCTACCCCTGGGGGCCTGCCTGGGCTGTGAGGAGGGTTGGGGCCTGGGGTCAGGGCTTGGGTGGGGCCAGGGAGGCTGATGCTTAGTGCCAGGGACCTCTGTTCACTAGCCGGAGCTCTGACACTTAAGGAAACAGCCACTGCCCAGGACCCAAGGCCTCTGCCGGCCTCTGCCTGTGGGGGTGGGGTTTTGGGGAGGCTGATGGGGGCTGCTTTCTTTCTAGAAGTTTCCCTTTGCTTTCTGGTCCTCACCTGTGCCGGGGAGCACGCCACCTGGGTATACACCTGGGAGCCCCACACCTGGAGGCAGGAAGAGAAGGAGGTACCATGAGCAGCAGCTCAGAGTCCAGGGACTCCACCAATCCCCCCCCCCCCCCAGGCAGCTCCAGGGATCCCAACGAGCAGCCCTGTGCCCACTGCGGGAGCCGGGGACAGACATCGGGTGTCAGCGTCCCTCCTCCTACGACTCTCGGAAGTCATCTGCTGACCCTCCCGTGCATGGATTTCTGTCTGTCTCCTGGAGCCAGCCCACCTCTGGCTAACAGCTTCCAGATGTCCCCTCCCTGCTGAGTGGACAGGCAGCCTTTTGTTGAACCTCAAGTCACTTCCTACAGGGCTTGGTGAGGTGGAATGAGTACCAGATGAAGAGTCAGAGGATGTCACCCTGGCTCTGCGGGGACCAGCCACAGCCCCTCCCACTCTGACTCTCGATGCTGAGCCTCAGTGTCCACATGGTCCCCCAAGAGCCTGCCATAAGCTTGTCTCTGAAGCAATTTTCTGCTTCAAGTTCCTAGAAGGGCCAGGGGGGCCCTCTGCCCCGTTCCACAGAAGCAGGTCCCATGCTGTTGACCTGGCCATCTCCCCCGCCCTGCTGCGGCCAGGCCCTGCCACTTCTCCCCAAGCACAATGGGGAAGGGGCTCTGTCCCTCCCTGACCTCTGCCCTCCAGCCCCGGGGACTCCACACTCACCGGGCACTTTCCCTGGCTTTGCTCCAGCTCCGACGCCGACTCCAGCTCCGACCTGAGGGACCACGGCACCTGGCACGGCAGGAGGCACGTGAGGGTTGGTTTTACGGCCCGCTGGCTTCACCCAGGGAACTCAGGTCAGCCACCTCACCTGTGGACACTCCTAAGCCACCGACTCCGCCAACGCCACCGACTCCGCCAACGCCACCAACCCCGCCAACTCCACCGACGCCTCCGAGCCCAGCACCTGCAGGGCCAGGTGGAGGGGTCACTCGAGGGACGGCAGAAGGCAGAGGCCCTGGAGCTCCGGCCCTGCCACTAACCCCCCTGGCTGCCTCCCGAGCCTCCACAGGTTGGAGATGAGGATCCTGCCCATCCGCCTCGCAGGCCCCTGGGCAAGAAGTGGAGCCCAGGGAAGCCAGGGGCTGATGGCCCRTCCTGGAGGGTCCCACTCACCAGCCTTGGCAGCCTTATAGGCTGCAGCAGCACCAGCAGCTCCACCTGGCACCACGCCCCCAGGGAAGGCACCCGCAGGGAAGGCTCCCAGCCCTGCGGAGGAGAGGACAGGGTGAGGTCCTGGGCACGGCACCCTGGAAACTGCCCAGCCCCAGCCCGCCGGCCCTGCCCACTCAGGAAGCTCAACTGAGGCCCCTCTACTCCCTACAAGACCTCAGCCAGGAAGCCACGGCCGCTCAGGAGGACTGGACCCTGTGTTGGGGCCAGGGGAGCCCCGGCTCCACTGGGCAGGATCTTTTGGGCCAAGCACCCCCCATGCCTTCCCAAGTGCCCTGGGGAGCTGATGCCCTGGGCAGCCTCCATCTGGTCCTCATCACTACCTTGTGATAGTCCCCTCACCCAGCTGGGACCCCCTCCTGCCCCACATGGCTGCTSGAAGCAAGTGATCTCAGCCTCAGTCCCCACTGGGCCGAGTCACCAGTCCCCKTCGGGCATCTCGTGTGGTGTCCACACTCACCTGCCCCGGGGCCAGCGCCCGCAAGCCCTCCAGGACCTGCAGGAGAAAGACAGCAGATGAGAGGAGGGTGGTGTGTGGGCACCAGCCCTGGCCCAAGGGGAGAAGGGTCTCCCAGAGTGGGGGCAGGACCCTGGCAGCGCTGTGACGAGCAGGTCACAACTCTGGCCTCTAAGCTGCTCCTTAGGCCTTTGGTATGTTGCGTGATTCTGCTAAAAGGGTAGCCACCCTTGAGTGACCATGTGCTACGCTGTGTAGATAGGATTGTGCTGAAGCCCCCGGCGACCTGGGAAGGGCTGTGCCCCTAACAGCCAACTAGAGGCAGCCGGGCTTCCTGCAGGGCCAGAGCTGGGCACGGGCTGCAGGCTAGGCCTCAGCCAAGCCAGGGGCCCCACCTGGGCCTGCCCTCTTCCTCGCAGGTGCCTCTGACTTCACCTGGGTCTGTCCCCATCATCTGTCCTTCCGTCCAGCCTGCCCTGAAGTCCAGGAGCCTCGTGGCTAGAGCCAGATGGGTCCCTGGCACTCTCCTCCCCACATCTGGGCCCCATTGCCCCTCCCAGGGGACATTCCTCGGCCTTGGCTGGGACAATGGGCAGTYGGGCTGGAGTTTACAGCTACACAGGTTTGTTTCCAATTATGAGAATCTCTCCTGCGAGCACCAGTCCTGGCTGCCAGGGTCCAGGCCCCGGGGGAACACTCTCCAGGGACCTCCAGCACCGGGCCTGCTGAACCCTGGGGGAGACTAGTGGCTCCCGCTGGGTGTGGTCTCTCTTCTAACCAGCCCTGCCCACTCCTTCCTTTCTCTCTCTCTCTCTCTCTCTCTCTCTCTCTCTCTCTTTCTCTTTCTTTCTTCCTGGTACTGAAGATTGAACCTGGGGTGCTTAACCACCAAGCCACAAACCCAGCCCTTTTTATTTTTTATTTTGACACAGGGTCTCACTAGGTTGCTTATGGCCTCACTAAGTTGCTGAGGCTGGACTCAAACTTTCGATCCTCCTGCTTCAGCCTCCTGAGCCGCTGGGATTACAGGTGGCACCACTGTGCCTGGCCCCACTCACTTCTTAATTGCGTGGCCTGGGCCTTGGGAAGCTCAGGCTGTCCCTCTGTAACATGGGACTGTAACTGCCCCTGRAGGTGGACAGACAGGGCCTGGGCTGCCTGGTGAACCTCCTGGCATTGGGCAGTGGCTGTCCCCAAACCTTCCTGGTTCTGGCAGTGGCTGTCCCCAAGCCAGGTCTGTTTCCTGAGCTCCCAGGGGCAGGGGACATGCTCAGATCTTTCCTGTCCACAGGGGCTGGAAGGAAGAGATGGGACCAGAGTGGAATTAAGGAGAGGCTGGGGCAGGGGTGGGGTCAGGCCTGGGGACAGACAGCCCCTGTGCATCATCTGTCCTTCTCCCATGGTCCCCCAGAATGCTCTCCCCCTGGGGCCAGCTCCACCTCTGTGTGTGCCCTTCCCTGGACTCACCTGCTCCAAATGCCCCCAGGAGTCCTGCACCTGGAGAGGAGAAAGGGGAGGGGCTGAGCACGGCCCAGAGCCCACCCTCCCAGCCCCCAGCCCAACAACTTTTATTTCTGGAGTCAGAAAGTTCTGGTTCAGATCCTCCTGCCCCTGCGGCTCTGTGTGGAGGAGCGAGTCACTTCCCCTCCCTCTCTGAGCCTCAGCTTCCCCATCTGCAGGTGGCCCTAACGCTCCTTGCCTCCTGGGAACCAGCGCGCCCAGGGGTGCTCCCAGCGGGTCCTGTCCTTGGCCCCCCCCCCCTGGGTGGGCAGCTGTCCTCCAGCTAGAGCTCGGGCGTGGGCAGTGCAGGCTCCCAGCTGCCTGGTCCCCCGCTGAGCCTGAACCAGGGCGGGGACAGCCTGCGGGGCCCACGTGTAGGAGCAGCTGCCAGGCCACCCACCCTCTATCACCAAGGGATTAATTGTTCCCAAGCATGACATGCGCTGCCTGTGACCCATCTCGTCCTGCCTGGGCAGGCCCGGACGTCCCCCCAGCCCGGATGTAGGGAGCTTCGTTCGGGTAGCCACAGTGGCTCTGCCAAAGCCTTTGTAGCCCTAAATCCTGGGGCTGAAAGGTGACCTTAGGGAGGTCATGGAATCCAGCCCTCCTCCTCCAGACAGTGCTCTTGGCTTCCAAAGGAGATATCCTGACTTTCCTTTTGGTCTATTCATTTGGCCTGAGTTGGACGTTCTTTTGGAAGTCTAACCTAAGTCTTTCATCCGTAGAAGCTTCACTTGAGCTACGATCCATCGGGAGACTGCACCCAGGTACCTCAGTCTTCCCTCCATTACTTAATGACAACCTGGCCTGGTTCCTCCACTGTCTATGGGGTCAATCAGTGAATGCACCCTCTGTCTTTGCAGGTGTGAGCTCCACACCTGGGCCTTCTATGCTGTGCACAGTCCTCTCTCCATACCACGGCTCGTCTGGCCATCCCTGTATTCTCTCCGCCTCCCAAGACCCTGCTAAGAGCCCTCACGCTCCAGGAAGACAGGATGGGGTTCAAGCAGGGGGAAGCAGYGGGCCCGGTCTCTGGCCTGGCAGACCCCTCAGACCCCAGGGTCCCTCTTGCCCACACACCCCTCTGCTTCTCCCGCTGGCCCCCGCCCYGGGGTTTCACAAGGCAGATGGGCTTTTAGGAAGGGGAGCCTGTGGATCCATCTCTGCTTGGATCAGGGGCCGCCAGGGTTGCGTAAGAGCTGTTGGGCAGCCAAGCTGTGTCCTGGAGCCTGGGGCTTCAGAGCCAGGGCCGCATGGCGCAGGGTGGGGACGCCAAGGCCACATGTGCAGCATCTCACACCAGGGGCCATAAATCTGGGTGGAGACACTGTGGCCTCCACCTGCTCCTCATCCCCCAGAGTCCCCAAGAGACATCCCCTTGGGGTGAATTCCCCAGAGCTGAGGGTGGCCCTCGGGGGCAGATCTGAGCCCCCGGGGGTGAGGCCTGGACAGACCTACCCCGCCTTCCTACTGGAAAGCTCCCCAGTTTGGACCCAGCTGGACGGGGCCTGGGGCCGGAAGGGAGGTCCACTTTAGCGTCTGGGGTGAGGGTCAGGGTTCAGCCTGGGACTTGGTCAGGGGTCAGGATGAGGGGTCAGACCGGCATCCAGCTCAGGCCTATCGGGGGTCTCGACCTGGGATTAGACAGGGGTTAGTTTGGGATCAAGGGTCTGAAGGCCGAGCAGGTGGAGTCTGGGGCCCTCGTCTGCGCCTGCTCCTGCAGCGCTGTTTGACAGGCTTGGTGGCCACTGGGACCTCAATCTCTAATTCGGGCTCCAGCGCTGGGGCTGTTTCTGAGGCCCTGAGCAGAGGGCTGTCTCTGGGGAGCTGGATGCGTGGGCACTTACAGGATAGAGCTGGGCACCTGTTACCAAAGGAGGACCCTGCTGCTGCCCTCCCCTCCCCTTCCCGCCCCCCAGTGCCATGAGTCAGCCCTCCCCGGCCTCTCGGCCTTTCCTGAGGACTCTGAGCCTCTACTCTTTTCTTACCTGGTTTGGGTGGTTTGCCTCCAGGCCCCAGAGCTGCAGAGAGAGGAGATGGGGGTGAAGAGGGCCCCAGCCCGCGTCTTACCAGTTACCCCCACCCCCGGGAGAGCGAGGATGGAGGTCTGAGGGTCGTTCGGGGCCCAGGGAAGAGCCCGGGGAAGGGCTGGAGAGGTCTGGGGGCTCGGTTCTCAGACAGGTGTCTTCCCACGGGACACTCAATCTGGGACCTTGACACCTGGATCTGGGCCCCGAGGGTGAGTGTGGTCAAAGGACCCCCCYACCCACTGGTCTGTGGTCTCACCTCCTCCTCCCAGGCCTCCGAGACCAGCCCCTGTGAGGAGAGAGAGAGAGAGAGAAAACCATCAGCATCCTCCAGAGACRCCGCTCTCCATCCCTCCTCCTGCCGACCTCTGCCCGGCTGCGTGACCTCGGGCAGGTCAACCTCTGTGACCCTCCGTTTCTCCTCCCTGGGTCAATATCCTGGGGCCAGTGTGTGCCCTGGGGTCCTGCCAGGCTTCCTCTGGTTCTGAACGCCCACCTACCTTTCCAGTATTGAAAAGGCTCCTTTCAATTTTTTTTTATTGACTTAAAAACATTATGTTTCCCCCTAGATTAATAGAGGGAAAAAAGTCCCCCTTCCCTAGTACCATTGTCCCAACATCCTGCCCATTCTCTCTCGGGGACTCACAGTCCTCATCGGCACCTGGCCCGGGACCCACACTACACGTCGCCCTGGGGCCTGAGTGGTTGAGTTAATCACACCCGCCAATCAGATAGGTGGTGCGCTGTGCAGATTTCTGCAAAGACTGCTCCTGTGAGGTGCGGTTTTTCTGTTCTTTACAATTATTTGCCTCGAATGGGTGGCCAAGAGCAGGGTTCAGGGTTAGGAGACGGTGAAACCTAAGGTAGGAATGTGTGCCCGTGCCCTCCTCCCCAAGAGCCGGGTTTTATCCTTCAGAATATTTATGCTCTTTGCAGCTGTCAATCAGGGCCGTGTTAGCTGCACTCCCAAGGGGCTGACTGGTGGGTCCCCAGGGGTAGGCATGCTAATGTTCTTGCAGTGACAAAACATGCCATCTCTTCTGAGCATCTCCATCCCCTCTGCCCGCCTGGGTGCGTGGCTGCTGAGTGTCCTACCTGGATAATAGACTCCTCCAGGAACTCCACCAGGAACAGCCCCCGGGACCCCTGGAAGGAAGGAGGTAGAGTCTTTCATCAGTCAGAACTCATAAAATTTTGGTGACATGGATAAACATGGAGAAGGGTAATGGTTTTGTTGACAAAGTAGGTTCTGTTTACATTTTCAAATTCTCGCTTCTCAAAGTAGCCCCTGGGAGGCTGGAAGGGCGGGGATCACTCTCAGGGATTTAACAGATGTGAAGTTGGGCTCAGAGAGGTTAAGGGATGTGTCTGGGGTCACGCAGCTGAAACAAGATGGGGCCTGGGCTCAACCCAGACCCCRCCTCGGAGAATATGTGATGTGGTGCTACCTGATCTCCTTAGGGGCAGAGGGCTCTGCGTGGGGCTGGGACTGGGTGCTGGGCAGACAGTTCCCTCCTGCACTGAGCAGCCCGGGTCAGAGCCAGAGCTGTGGGAGGGCAGAGCTGGCTGCAGTGGCTGCCAGCAAGATCGTGGCCATTCCCACCCTGATAGGATGGCGTGAGGTCAGCGTCTCGAACCACTGGGCCACAATATTGGGGTGGAGTCCTGGCCATCTGACACAGGGCTGTTTAGGGAGGCGCCGGGTCCCGGAGGGAGACATCATGAATGAGCAAAGTGAATAGTTTCTTAAGGCACAGCTAATTCCCTGGCCAAGGTCACGAGTACAGTCCCCATGGACCAGTGAAGCTGTCCTGGAGGATACTGGCATGCTGGCCCTGGACCTAGGCCTGAGCCGTTGTCATGGCAACCAGCCGGGTCTCAAACCAGGCCCTGGCTCCATCACAGAATGCTCCCAACCTCGACCAGTCACCTGGCCAAGGCTCCAGCCCCGCCCTGTCCCAGGGGGCTGGGGCGTCTCGGGGAGCACAGGCTGGCTCAGGGGCAGTGCCACGCAGATTTGCAGTGCATCTGAGAGGCACCGTGGCCAGATGTCTGGCTCCGGGGCCGGGTGACATGTCCCAGCTGGCCCCTGAGCCTGGTCAGCCTCAGCTAGAGCATGCCAAAGCCAGCACTGGGTCTGCGGCCCCCCGGGAACCGCGGTCCAGTCCTGGAGTGTGTGAGCAATCTGGCCAGAGCCTGGGGGATTGGAGGAGTGGCCCCAGGGGGCTGGGCCTGCTGGGAACGAGCAGGCGGCCCTGTCATCGGCTGCCAAGTCCACACAGGGCTTGCCTTGGGGCTTTGGTGCCTTCTCTGGCTCTGGCCTCCAGCTCCCAATGCATCTCTCTCTGCCTCAGCCTCTCTTCCTGCACTTTCTCCCCTCCTCCCTCGTGGCCCTCTGTCCCCTCTTCTCTGCCTTCAGGCTCCAGAGAAGACAGCAGGGGACAGTGAGGTGGGTGGGAAGGGGCTGGAGGGGGGTCAGGACAGATTCCCCCCTAGCCCCCGGCTTCTAATCTTAACTTTGCTGCTTCTTACCATCCGTGTGACCTCAGGTAAGTCACTTAACCTCTCTGAGCCTCAGTTTCCTTTTTTCAAAGTGGGGCTGATCCTCACTGCCTTGCACGGTTGCAAGGGTTCAAGTAAGAGGCTGTGTCTTGTCGGTACCTGGCCCAGAGTCATTGTTCAAAAATCAAATCAAAACAAAACAAAACAACAACAAAGWRACTATCGCTGACCTCTAATCTCCATTTCTTCCCACTCTGCTGCTCGGGTTGGGTGGATAGTAGGTGCTCAGTGAACAATGGGTGAAGCAGGTGCAGGGGAGGCAGAGAGGACGCTTATGGATCCGGGTCTGACCTGTTTCACCCCATCGTATCTGCCCTGGGGTCTCCCCATCTCAGACTTGTGCAGCTGCCAGGCCTGGCTGAACCCCACTTCTCTCCTGGTGCTGGACTTGTGGCCAGGCCCTTTCCGGAGGAGGACGCTGCTTCCCTTTTCCCCACTCTCCACGCCCACATTTCAGATCYGGGACAGGGCTGGCCAAACCCCACACCCAAACCCTGACCACCCTGGGGCAGCCRTTTCTGCCCTGTCTCTCTTCCAACRTGGGGCAGGTGAGAGGAAAATGGGACGCGAGTGGAGAAAGGGCCCTGGAGAAGTGGCAGGCCCCTGGCAGAGCCCAGCAGGTCACCCGCATTCCCACCTCCTCGACAGAAGCGYGCTTCCTGCCAAGAATGCCCGCGCCTCCCTCCAGGCCCGGCCCTGGCTCCCAGGCCTGTTCTCCCTCCTGCCTTCCTGGGCCTGCGGCTCCTCTCGCCCGCCGCTCAGCTGGCCTGGCGGCCTGGAACACACTCSTCTTGTTTTATGTGGGTTTGGCTTGTCCTACTGAAGCAGCCCAGGGCGGAACTTGTCTTGCAGCTAAGAATCCTGATCCCGGCTCTCAGGGATCAGAAGAGCCTCTGGCCTGGGCTGGAACTTCTGCAAACCTCCCCTGACGGAAGCTCCCTCCCTCCCCTCGGCTCTACCTGAAGGGGTCTTCCTCCTGCTGAGGCTGAATGGACCCCTGTCTCTCCTGCTCCACGGCCAGATCCCCCTGGATGGAGGAGGCCCATTGCCCCCCGACTCACAGCCCCTCGAAAGAAAGTTGGACCTTTCGTTCAAGGTCTGGCTTAAACAACCCTTCCACTGGGAAGCCCTCCTGGGTTTCTTGGGGCTCCTGGGCCACCCATTCCCGGAGTCCTGTTTGTCTCCTCTCTCAGCGCACAGCCATTTATACCTCTGCTTCCCTGGGGGGAGAATTCAACCTGAGAAATTAAACCTAGAAAGGAACCGCAAGGATCCATCAGCCTGAATACGAGAATATATCGTTTTACATCTGGACATTCCCACAGTCCTCTGATTGAAGGCATTTTTGGCAGGGGTGACATGGCTGTAGCTCCCACTGGCTCTAGGAGGCGGGGACGTCAGACGGGATGTCTCTTCCCATTTTGCAGCCAGGGAAACCGAGAGCCAGAGAGACGAAGGGCTGGCCTGGGACCTGTAGCTGACCCCAGTCACATGCAGGGCCTTCTGCCCGGAGCCTGGGCTCCAGGTTCAAAGATCTGGGAAAAGCCTGTTTGGGAGGGAGCCGCGGCCGTGGGCCTTGGCAGGGGGCTCTGCCAAGCCAAGTCCAGGGGGGGGCGGCTGGGGAGCAGATAAAACCTCACGAGGCTTTGTTGTTTGCAGGAAAAGGTTGCCAATGGTTTTTCAAAAACAATCTGTCCTCGGTGGGTGACTCTGTCCCCTCCCACGTGGGGGCATATTTGTGTTCCTGCCGAGGCCCCAGCAGACACACAGAGCTGGATCCATCCCTAAGCCAGAGCTTCTTGGCTCTGGCGGCTCATCAGAGATACCTGGGGAGCTTAAAAGAATGTCCCCTCATCCAGGTTCCTCTCCAGACCAAATGGAGGAGGAATCCTTGGGTGGGACCTGGCATAGGAATTGTTCAAGGTTTCCCTGGGGAGCTCTCGGACCCAGCCAGGGTTGAAAGCCCCGATCCAAACCACCTTTGGCTCAGAAATGGGGGGGGGGATGGGGAGGAAGCCTGAGGGTATTTCTAGGGGGGTTATTCTTCCCAGGAAATGCTGTTGTGACCCCACTAGGGGACTTGCACACGTGACAACCTCCTCTTGCAGAGAGGCTGGGCTCCCCCAGGGTATCCAGGTGGGTGCCGGGAGTGCGTGACTGCGGTATCTGTTTCTGACGTCTCCTGACTCTGCACCCAAACCCCAGAAGAGCTTATCCATTCACAAAGCCCCTTATTTGAACACAGCCAGTCCAGAAGTTTGGGATAGAATGGAGATTTATCTTTGTAAAAAATGATACCCTCTGAGGGATTAATGATGTCACCAGCGCTAGAGGAACAGGGTTACTTTGCCCTTAAAGGACTCACTCCAGGTCTCTGTCCCCCTCCCCAATGTTGCCTGTACCTTATCCCAACTCCCTCTTCCTTTGACCCAGGGTGGAGAGCTGGCTGGTGCTGACCCCCAGGGGCTGCCTGAGACTGACCGAGCCTCAGTTTCCCATGTGTGAAGTGGAGATAATGATTCCTGTCTTTCCCAGCTGGGGGGTTCACTGCCACTCGTAGGTGGTGGTAGTGGCTGGGAAGGAGGTGAAGGGGTGTTTGGGGGCCACACCTGGGGGAGGGGACCCAGACAGCCCAGAGATGCTGCTCTCAGGGGCTGGCTCTCTGCTCCCCACCACCACTGGTGCCCACATCCCTTGGCCTCATCTAGGACTGGACCCTGCACAAGAAGCTCCTGTCCCGGCATCTGGCCCTGTAGGTCAATCTCATGGATGGAAACAGCCCTGAGGCACCCTGGGCCCCACCTGTTGCCCAGTCAGAGTCTGGCTCTCATGGCAAGGAGGTTCCCATGGAAACAGACCCCACCTAGGCCATCGCAGCAGATGGCCAGTGATCTTGCACCTCTCTCTTCCTGTAGCCCAAGGCACCTCTGGGCTCCCAGCTGGCCCCTGTGGACAGTCCCACAAATCCAGCAGCATCTGGGTCTGGACACACTCCAGATAGGCCAGCAACAGACTGGGGTCCACTCCAGCCTGTGACACCGGCTTGTCCCTCTGTGGGAAGGTGGTCACCTTCCCCAGCTTGCCTTTCCTTTCTCGGACTCCCCGTCTCTCACACAAACAGAGTTGTGCACGCAGACACTCATGGTCACATGCACAGTGACAATCCACACCTGGGGACACATCTGCATGCCAGATCTTCCATGTGTAGTTGTCTGTGGGGTGGCAGCTCCTGGAGCCCCCTGCCCTGTACACAAACACCTGTCCAGCCGTGAGCCTGGGAGTGGATGTTCAAACCTCCCCAGAAAGTCCCCCTGCTTCAGCGACAAGCTTGAGCATGGGCACACAGGGACACCTGTGCAATGTAGCACTTGACACACTTGTTCATACATGAGCACATGTGAAACACACTCTCAGGAGTCCCTTCCCTGGGGACAGACCACAGCAGCAGCTCTCCAATCTGCAGTCCCATAACCAACCTGACCTGGACCTTCCTCCTGGGGACTTCCCATCGAAGGAGGAACCTGCAGAGGTCACAAGCTCACTGTGATCTCCAATCCAGGTCCCCTGCCCCCGCGGGCTGCACGCAGCACACCGGCTGGTCCGCAGGTGCGCACCAACCGGCAGAGCGCACGGGGTGGCGCAGGGGCCCCCGCAGCCCTCTCTGGGCAGCAGAGCCTGGCACGAGGTGGGACCGTCCTGAGCTGCGGGTCGTTTGACAGGATCCCATTGCGCACGGGGCCGGCGCTTCCAGGCCGGTGGGCTGAGGTTGGGAGGCCGGGGGGTGGAGGCTCCGCCGGCCGGTCCACCCTCAGGCCCCCTGTCCATCCGCCGCCTGGGGCGCGGGCAGCAGCGTGGGAACAGGCAGGGCCCTTACCTCCGGGCTGCGCGGGGTGGAGGAGGGCCAGCAGGAGCAGCAGGACTCCGGGCCTCGGGGCCGCCGCCGTCAGACCCGCCATCGCCATCTCGGGGAGGAATGCCCCGGCCTGCTCTCCGCGCCTCGTTTTATCCCCAAAGCGTAATTGCTGCCTGGTCGGCTGCGCGGGAAGGAGGCGGGCGGAGGCGGGCGGCGGCGGGCGGGGGAGGCCGGCGGGGGCCGGGAGGGGGCAATTACGAAAGCCCCGCTGCAGCCTCCGGCGGGGCCGCCTGGACCCAGGGCCTTCTCCTGCACACACACTCGCGTTCACGCCCGCGCGCGCGCGCGCGCGCACACACACACACACACACACACACACTTTCCCCATCCCTTTCCCGCTTTCCCTCTGTGGCTGCTCTCGCTGCTGGCCCCGTTCCCGCCAGAAAGTGCGAGGGGGCCTCTGCCAGGACGGCCCTCAGGAGAGGAAGCAGGAGGGAGGGCCCCCGCAGCCCGGCCAAAACGGCCGGCCCTCGCCAAGTCCTGAGTGGCCAGGCCCCCGCCCCTACGGCTGGGCCCGGGGCCCAGTGTGGGGACACAGGCCAGCTGTCTCGAGCCTCAGCCCCCACCCTGGCCCTCCAGACACCCCAGCACCCCTAAGCCTGGCTAGAGATCCGCCCTGCCCAAAGCTGGGATGGGGACAGGACAAGGGCGCAATGTCTGCAGAGGTCGAGGGCCCCTGGGTAGAAAGACGGGCAAGGCTGGTGTTGTCTGGAGCACACAGGGGACAGCATGGAGACCCTGGAATGCTATAAGGCTCCTTTCTGCATGGGCCAAGGACTCAGTCTCCTGCCTGAAGCTGCAACAGGGTGTTGGACAGGTTTGTGGTGGATATCTGCAGAGGCCAGGAGACTGCAGTCAGGAGAACGGCCTGGGAGTGAAGGCCACGTTTACACTGTCCCCCGAGACCTCTGGGGCACGCAGGGGACCCTGACATACGAGGTTCTATTCTGCACCGGTTGAGGCCACAGTTCCATACAGGTCACAGTGTCTGGCAAAGGTCACTATGGGGAACAGGGAGGTGGGAGCCCCATGCATACTGACAGGCATCCCAGTCTCCTCATTGTCACTTGCTCATCACCTTTCCCAAGGCTGAGCAGCACTGGTGTCCAGATAAGACCCCAGAGCCCCAGACTCAGGACTGGCTCTCTGCTCCTGGGAGAATGTCCAGGATCGCCATTCCTCCGGTGGCCAGCAGGGGGCGCCTGCGCTGAGCAGCTGGGGCAGCGGGCAGCAGAACCCTGATGCTCTCCGCCTGAGCAGGATGGGGCTCTGGGGGTTTTGGGGTGTGTGTATGGTGGATCAGGGGTCATGTCCCCCCCCCCAGCCCTCACTAGTGGGAAATAGATGTCGGAACTACAGATAGGAGAGGAAGCTGTGCCCTAAGACAGGGGACAGTCTGGACCGTGTCTCTGGGGCTTTCCCTGCACAGAGGGATGAGTTAATGCCCTTTGTCCAGCCAGGAACACAGTGGCAGTCTGCAGGGCTGGCAGGGAGTGGCCAGGAGGAAAGAGGTCCAACGTAGGTTTGGAACTCAGGTGGACCTGGGACTGAGTTCCAGCTGTGGCACTTTCTAGTGGGCTAACTTCTCCACAGGGCTCGAGTCTCCTCACCTCTCAGAGGGTGACACATGTCCCTGCCCAGGAAGATGATGGCAAAGGTAAAGTGAACATGGTCATCTACTTCTACCTGTGCCTGCAGCTTACAAATGCACTCTGTACCCTCTGGTACCACTTGGACTGTCATTGCTGCCACCAGGTCTTCAAGAGCTGTTCCTGGTTTTAGCATAGCTATCAGGATGGCTCTCTGCCAGGCCACCCTGGGACCCCAGGCAATCTCTGCCTCCCCCTGGTCTCTGGTCAAAGCAGCTCCGAAATTTTGGGAGGTGCGGACACACTAGGAGAATCATCTTTAAACATACAGTTCTTACATGGTGTGTGTGTATTTGGAAGTGTGTTGGTTGGGGGGCCTAAAACCCCCCAAGTCAGCCCTTGTTGGTAGGGGCAGGGGTCCGAGGGTAGGGGCTGAGATGCTGTGCCTGGGAGCCGTCTGCTGGGAGGGGAGGGAGGTCAGGGGTACATCTGTGTGTCTGCCTTCTTCCCAGGAAGGGGGAAGGAAGGGGGTTCTGGTGGGGAACTGGGCCCCACTCCTCTTGGGGCAGTGACGTGGGCAGGAACCAGCTTTCAGACTTACAAACCGCAGTCGGCTCGGAGGCTTTATTAATTCCAGGACTGGGAAAGAGGCTGGAGCCAGCGGGAGAAGATTTGCTGTGAGGATCCAGGAGAGGTGTGCAGGGGCACTTGCTGGGGTAGACGTGAGGCTGCTGGGCCCGGGTCCTGTGTCCAGCGCCCAGCTCGAATCTTCCCCGCCCCTGTCCCTAGCAGCCTGTGTTTGCTGCAGTCGCTCCTCTCAACGTAATCTGGGAGGCTGCTGTACGACCTCCAAAGGGGCCTGGGTTCAGGGCCAAATCCATCAAATGATCACCCGGTGCACGTTAGCCCAATATGTGCTACACCCGATGCAAGGAAGGGGCGCAGGGGTTGATGGCACTCACTCCCCGCTTGTTCATCCAGGCCCAGTGTCCCCAGCTGCTCAGCCACCTCCCTGAATACCTGAACAGATGACATAAGGGCATACCTGAGAGCTATCTGCAGAGAGCGGCAGGGTGCCCCGGCCCTTACCCTTGACAAACCTCACCACTTGCTGGCTGCCTGGCCCATATGGGCAGAGGGCTCGCAGGTGAGTCTCTTGAACACCACCTCTCCATTCCTGCTCCTCCAGGTGTACCATCTAAGAAGGACACAGTTCTGGATCTCTGCCCAGCTCTGAGAATGTCATTGCTCTGCTTAGAAACCCTCAGTAGCCATTCAGAGAAACTCCAGATCTCTGAGTGAGGACTTCCAACCCCATAAGACCCAGCTCCACCTGCCCTGTCTCCTTCCTTCCTCCAACTGGCCTCCGAAGCTGCTCTCTGGCCCCCAGGCTGATCCTGGAGGTCTGGGTGGGGACCTGTGTTGGCGAGGTTCCCTGGTCTGGGCTTCCACCACCTCCGGGTCTACTCCCGTGCCCAGTATCCCTGTCCTCTGGACCTCTCTGAGGGTCTTTAACAAAGTCCCTCTGGACTGAGCTTGGGGGCTTGCTCTTATCCCCCCCTGGCCTGGCCATCATGGAAGGCAGTTGGTGGGTAACGCATGTCTGTCTCCCCTCTCATCCAAGAATGTTGGATTGTAAGTGCTGATGAACCTTCTAGGAGATGGGGACAGATGCTGGTGTAGACAGAATCCCTGGGGTGTGGCTTCTGTTTTCTTCCTTGTGTATACAGGGTCCCATCATCCGTGAAACACAGGACGTGCTGCTGAGTGGGATCCTGAGCTACAGAGAGGACAATGGACTGTGGGGCTGTCCTAGGCAGAGCAGGGCTCAGCCAGACCTGGGACCCCAGTGGTGCTTCCTCCCAGGGCCACTGAAGATGCTGCTGAGAGCCATTTATATCTCCGCATGAGCCAAGGTCCCTCCAGCCAGCCCCAGAGGAAAGAGGATCAATGGTTCACTAAAAAGTGCTTCTCATATGAGCCCAAACTGAGGTTTGGGAAGGACATGAAGGCTGGTTGGGGCAGCCCCTCCGGGACAGACTCAGTAGCGAGACAGGGTGAAGGACCTCAGGATACAGCTTCCCGGCCCTCCCTGCCTTGTCCATTAGACTCAGCTGCAGACAGTGAGGTTGGAATCTCCCCTCCTCTGATTCTAAACTTTCTAGTAGCTACGTAAAAGAAAACCTAAGTAAAACTSTGTGTGTGTGTGTGTTTGTGAGTGTGTGCGTGCACGTGTGGTCCTGGGGATTGAACCCAGGTATGTTGTACTTGGGGATGAACCACGTCCCCAGCCCTCTTTATTTTTTTTATTTTGAGACAGGGTCTGGCTGAGTTGCTGAGGTTGGCCTTGAACTTGTGATCCTCCTGCCTCAGCCTCCCAAGCAGCGGGGATTACAGGCGTGCACCACCACACCTGGCAGTATGTATGTTATGTTTAACCTAGAATATCTGAAATATTATTTCCACCGCTAATCCATATAAACATTATCGGCGAAATATTTTGTATTCTTTTTTTGTAGCAAATCTTAAAACTGGAGCGTATTTTACATTTTCACGGCGTGTATTTGGACTACTCACATTTCAATTGTCTAGGAGCTTCCTGTGGCCATGGCCCCTGCTGGGGACAGTGTGGGATTAGACTGAGGTTATGGGTGAGGACGAGGCTGACTTCGTTATGGCAGGCAAGGCGGGAAGAGTGGACCTGTTACTTGAGGGTCGGAGGCAGGAAGGGGGCTTGAGGTCAAGGGAGTGGGGCAGAGAAGGAGGGTGTCCTTGAGGGCCAGTAGAGAAAGGCTGAGGTGCCCCCATGACAGGTAGCCCCACGGGAGAGGCCCTGCCCTCTTGCTGGGGGCTGAGGCAGAGAAGGTGGCCACCTACTGTGGGCTCCCAGGCAGCTTCGGCCCAGAGCCGACATCTTGGCTGGGAAAAGAGGAAGACGTCCCTGCCCAGAGGTGGCCAGGGACCCCCGGGATGGACTATGGGCCAGGAAAGGAAGGGGCCGTCCTGGGGGACAGGCCTTACTGGAAGTCCAGGGTCAGTAACCGGGAACAGACAGAGGGCCCTGTGGGCAGGGCCACTCCTGGGTTGGCCCAAGGGAAGGACAGGCTGTACTTGGGGTCGGGGACGGGAGTTGTGGAAAGTGGGGCTGGGACTCCACATCCTGCCCCCAGGTGGCAGGAGAACAGCCAGTGTCATCAGTGTGGTCACGATGGGGTCTAATGTTAGTGTGAACCTGGGTGGATTACCTGACAATGGTGACGCCATTATTATTAACTCAGCCCCAGAAGCTCCAGTGCCCTCCCACAGGGACAGAGGTCTTCATGGACCTTTCAGATCAAAAGCTCATGTCTTTAGAGTCTGGTATTCAGCAAGTGCTCAATCATGGGATGGGGTCTATGATACCGTCTCAGGCAACTGAAGCAGACGATGGAGGGGTAGGCAAAGGAGGAAGCCCCTTCCCTGCACATACCATCCCCTCCCCCTGCCCTGTGCTCTAGTTCCCAAGCCTCAGAGCCCTCTGGGTGAT